AAGACGTAAAATACAACGTCTCCAACAATGGCAAACAGATGACCAAGACACATCGTCAGCAAATACAGACTAAATCTATCAGGCCAGGTAGGTAATGCTAATCATGTGGCAAAATTTAATGGAGGAGAGGCACCCTTCTGAGGCGTAGCGACCCCTACCGGCGCCCGGGGACAAAGAGTCAATTTGGCGACCCCCCCCCCCCTATATTTTTTATATTTACAATTCAAAACTGTAGCTAAAAATTTTTCCAACTTATTTTGGTGCCCCTAGGGTCGGCGCCCGGGCACATATGTAGCCCCCCCCCCCCCCCGCCCGTCGCTACGCCTCTGGCAACCTTACAAATATGTCCGTTCCTCCAAGGTTTAATTGTAAAATATAATAAAATCTGTTTATTTATCCAGAAAAAGTTGGTAGCTGAGTACGCTAAAATCGTGCATTTTTCTGGCAAGTTCTAATAACTAATACCCGTGATATGAATGCATTATATATGTAGGCCTGTTATATAATATATATACTTTATATATGAAGGTTAGTACGCAAAAAGATGCATTAACATAAACTCCCCCAAGCTCAAATTTCTCAAGTAGCTCTATATATTCCACTACATTTTAATCAAAAGGTTTGACCTGCATTTGTTTTATAAAATATATCATTTTTCTTCATTGATGTCACACTATCCTTTACTCTTATTTAAAAGACAGAGTTAATCAATCATTTCTAATTTATTTCAGATCATGAGTTCGTAATTTGGGTTGATCTACATTAAAAAAATTATAACCAGAATCCAACACATATAAATTGGCGCGAGGTTATGTTAGTGCTGGAAGTAAATAAATTATTGATTTAGGCCTAGTTAAAACGCTTTGAAGATTTTTTTTTATTTTTTGTTTTGTTTAAATCACTCCCAACCGTGTGCTGGTCACTGTCCCCCTCCCCACCCCGCGAGTGAGCCAGCTACACAGCTGAACCTCCACCGCCAGAACTGATCGGCCTCTCCATTCCAAACCGCAAAGAGAAAAAAAAAAACAGGCAGCTGAAGAGATGGAACAACAGTATAGATGACGACAGAGACGATTTTGGCGCCATCTTTCGTTTAACATCCAAATAATTTTTTAATATTAAAAAAAAAATAATATTTCAGTTAATTTTTATTGTAAACATAATTACATTCAGCTTGAAAATGGAGTTATAAGGCTAACAAATTTGACCTCATTTTAGCGCTGATGACGCGCGCGGAAAGTGGTCCGAATTATCGTTGTGAAACTCCATATTGAGCGTTTTTCCTCCAACAGGCGACCGACCTAGAAGCCAGAGACTACCTGTTGCTGTTGGGAAAAAAAAAAACCACGGTAATATAAACCTTTTCTTCAAACTTTTAAATAGTGCATTATATTTGTATTTGAAATTATAAGCAATATTTTCTACAAAGATTTGTTAAAATATGTTTCTACAATAACTACGACTATTATTTTAGATTTATTTTTAAACAAAAAGTAAAATTTACAATAATTTATTCATGATGTGTTTTCGTTACGTGAAAGGATTACATCCCTTTCCTCTCCCCTCTCCTCTGTAACTGGGGCATCTCGTTGTTAAGATATCTCGTAATAAGACACATTCTTCGTAATAAAAGACAATGATGATAACTTGTCTTTGTAATAAAACACAAGTAAATATGGGAAAGTTAATTATTACAGTGTCCTTTTCATAAAGAATGCATCTATTTTATTTAAACCAGAAACAACCAAATCCCAAAAAAAAAAATATTTCGTGACCGACTTCAGCATTAGGATAGGATGGGTTTAGACCAAATGCACCTTAATGGCATAAGGCTCATGATTAGGGCTACAAGTAACTATTTGACTTTGACTTGACTTAGTCCTCTTTGCTCCTTATGGAACATAGGGCCTCAAACATTTCCTTCCACTTCATCCGATCCCCGGCTATTAATTTTGCTGTCTCCCAAGACATCCCTGTTGGCTTCAGTTCTTCAAGAAAAGTAATTATTTAGTACAAGCTTATAATGGGGGAAAACATGTGTTTAAGCTGTTTGTTGTTTTACTGAAACCATTCAGTTTAAAATAAATAGAATAATTCAGTTTCATAACCGCAAATATGTAACACATCACACTGTGCTCCAGTATATAAAGCGCGATCTATCTATAACATATGGAGTGTGTAACATCGAGGTATGTGGTCATCACAGAGTAACATGAAGTGTGCAACACATGAAGCATATAACATAGGAGGTACATAAAGTAAATACATAAAGACAAATCTGTTGCCAATAGCCATAAACCTCTCAGCGTATGGTAACTGAAAACTTCCGCTTGATAACATCAGATCTTAATTTAGCTTCACAGCACAGTCATGCGTAGCCATTTTACTTAAGTCTGTATCAATATTTCTTGGGCTCACTGACATCTTTTTAAAGCCTAGACAACCCTCTTTCTTAGACCAAATAACCAGCTTACTTAGGTCAACATATCCATCTCACTTAGGCCATCATATCCATCTCACTTAGGCCATCGTATCCATCTTTCTTAGGCCAGCATATCTATCTCACTTAGGCCAACATATCCATTTTTCTTAGGCCAAAATATCAATCTCTTAGGCCAACATATCCATCTTTCTATGGCCAACATATCCATCTTTGTTAAGCCATCATATCCATTTCACTTAGGCCACCATATCCATCTTTGTTAAGCCATCATATCCATTTCACTTAGGTCATCATATCCATCTAGCTAAAGCCATCATATCCATTTTTCTATGGCCATCGTATCCATCTTTCTTAAGCCATCGTATCTTTAATATATTGATTTAAGCATAAACTATATAGCCCTTAAATTTTATTATACCTTAATATAAAGCTGACTGAAAAACTAACTGAACCTGTTACAACCTAACACTGATCCTAACCTTTATCAGAGCCTATTTTTAAACAAGATAAATACACAGCTAGTTATCTATTGCGTCTAATGGGCGAGATTTGATCGGAGTGTTCACTACCGTATACTGCCTAATGATTGAGACTTAAGCAACAGTACCGTATACTGTCTAATGATTGAGATTTGAGCGGAGTGTTCACTACCGTATACTGACTAATGATTGAGATTTAAGCAACAGTACCGTATACTGTCTAATGGGCGAGATTTGAGCGGAGTGTTCACTACCGTATACTGTCTAATGGGCGAGATTTGAGCGGAGTCGTCACTACCGTATACTGTCTAATGGACGAGATTTGAGCGGAGTGTTCACTACCGTATACTGTCTAATGGACGAGATTTGAGCGGAGTGTTCACTACCGAATACTGTCTAATGGGCGAGATCTGAACGGAGTGTTCGCTTTGTGCTAGACCAGGAGAAGACTCACAAGGTGTATTGATTTTATCATACCAGGGCACGGGAGGTTTGTGTCATGAGCGACAACACACAAACAAACACACACAGCATATATATATATATATATATATATATATATATATATATATATATATATATATATATATATATATATATATATATATATATACAATCCGAGATTGTATAGTTTCACTAGACATTCTCGAATACAATGGACTAGCTAAGTACAGAACAAAGCGTATTTATTCTTTCTGTAACTTAAGAAAAAAAATGTGATTTAAAAATTTAGTTGATCTAATTGGTTAGCATAGTTATTCCTGAAAGAGACACACATCCCAAAAATACGGGTGACAAATTCATTTTTAATGTCCAGTTTGTTCGATATATTCCCAATTACGTCACAACACAGAAGACACGCAACTCTTACTCTACTCTACTCACATGCATACCGGGATAATTCAAAACTAGGAGTGGGAATTTTAATCCTGCTTTATTTTAATATTTTATTTTCCTTCGTGGTTGTTTAATTTTGAATATATAAGTTATGAAACTTACGTTGGGTAATTGTACAATATTTTGCTTCTATTAATTGCATTTAAAACAGAACACGCAGGCCGTGTTCTACATTTAGCCTAAAATTTCGCAAACAAAACACGCATATCAATTACACAGGCAAGAAACAATAAATATACTAAAATATTTTAGAATTTTTACTGTTGAAATATATAATGTGTCTATAAAACACGCTAACTATGAACTAAACCAAATCATGAATTTATTTGAGACCAAAAGATTTTATGTCTTCTTGTATGTGTTGATATGTATGTGGTACATACGTTTATTGACCCCCCCCCCCCCCCCAACCGCCCGCAGTTTTTATTACCAGCGCTACTGCATACTGGGTGAAGAGTCATTAATACCATTGTCTATAACATCAATTCTCAATAACAATGTCCATAGCATCAACTGTCAATAACATTGACCATACCATTGTCTATCAATAACATTGAAAAAAAACATGTGCCGATAATTATAATACCATGTCACCAGTTCCGAAGTAACCAGATCATAACGTTGACATTTTGCATGCCAACATAGCCCCGCTGACCCAGAGGCGTAGCGAGGGCGGGGCAGGGGGAGGGGGTGTGCGACACCATTTAGGGGGTGACACCAAGTCAAAAAATGTGCAAAATGTACAGAAGAACAATGTTTTTTTGCCAGTTCCATTAATGATTAAATTAAAGTTAAATAGTTTTAAGTACAAATCGACATTTATTACAAGAGGGTGGGGGTAACAACATGACGTAAACGTGCTAACTATAGAGAAAACAATGCTACATCCAACTGTATTATTGACTATAGATAAACATCGTTACATAGATAAGCATCGTATGCAATCTTTCTTCTTTGTTTCTTGGGGTGGGGGTGACACCATGAAGTGCCGTACCGGGCGGCACCCAAATTATCGATGCCACTGCCACTGATCATAGATATAAAACCGCTAATCAAGACCCAGTCAACATAACAAAATGTCAATTTGTCATTTTTTTATCTTTCGTAAAAAGCGTTACGTTTATTCATAATCTTATCTAAACTGTATATAAACTTTTCTTTTACAGGTTTTTTTTTCCTCTTGAGAGTCTCCTATACCAGATCACCCTCATCATTACACCATCTCGTCATTCAAAACACGTCATTGGACCACGCTAAGGCACGTGACCGCGCGCTGTGTTCTCAGCACGCTCCAGTCGCACTACTCTCGAAGCCTTACCCTTTCAATCTGAAGAAGCGACTTCCCCCCGTCAACAACCTCTCTCCGCGCAGGCAATTTCAGCGTTATCGATTCTCCCTACTGCAGTATATTAGGTTGGTCAGGGCGAGACCATTAAAATAATGTGTTCTTTGGGAAGGAAAACAAGTCGAGTTTCTGTTGCTGTATCGCTACATCAACAATGAAGTTTTCTGTTAGATTAGCAGAATTTTGTGGCACGTGTTTTCTATTTAATTAAAGGAGCCTTAACTTGTCAAGGATAGACAACTATCAAGGGAGAGTTATTGGTCTTTACTCGGTGTGAATTGAACTGAAACCAACAAGTTATTGTTCTTTATTCAAGTTAGAGTTATCGTTCTTTAATCAATGTGAATTGAATTGAAATTATAGTTATCGTTCTTTAATTAATGGGAATTGAATTGAAATTAGAGTTATCGTTCTTTAATTAATGGGAATTGAAACAAATCATTTATATCGCGTTTCTACACATTGAATATAAAAAAAAAAACAACAGGCGTATAAGTTGTGTTGATTGTATAGTACTGATTGATTCGGCTAAAGTGCAACAGCACCGATTGATCGGTGATCGATAGGCCAGCAGATTAAGGCATCGATCGACACAACGAATCAAAGATGGGGGCTCCCCTAATCAACATTTGGTCCTGTACGTGTTGCAAAACAAAAGGCGGGTCTGGTGACGTCATCTTCATTTGAACAAAATTTGACTCCGACAATCAACCTTGTGGATTTAGCCTTTCATTTCATTCCATTTTCAGTCACACCTAAGCTCAAAAATTATTTTTTAAATATTTTTTTTGCGAACCAGTACATTATAAAATCAACAAACAACAAACAAGCAAATGCATTTTTTATCGCAATTAAAAACAAGCAACACCCTGTTGCATTAAAAATAAATTTCGACGCAAATCAAATGTGTTGACCAATCTGTCAGCTGGAATATAAATCAAACATTCATCTTATTTTTTTTATCAAGTGGATCGATTAATCAAAGTGCAATCAATCTTTGAAGAAATCGATACTCCAATACTAGTAAACACTGACCCGAGGGTACGAGGCAGATTCGGGATTTATCAACAGCGATGACCGTAGATCCATAACCAAATCAAATTCAACGACCTCATATTGGCAGCAGATACCGACTTTCTGGGCTCAGTCTTTAGCAGACGAGTTCCTGGCCAGTCTCTGACAGCACAAGTTTGACCAGAAGTTGGAGAAAAATCTGGCAATCTTTGATCACTTGACGGAAATATCTCACCTCAATCGTAAACAATGACGTCACCGGAAGACATGACGTGGTACGAAAAGGTACATCTTTATTTACTATTTTTATAGCAATTTGTGAAACTATTTTAAGAGCAATGATTATTTCACAGCTATCTCAACACCATTTTTAAAGCAATTTTATAGCAATTTTTAAAGCACTTTCAAAGCACGTCAAAGCAACTAGAAAACAAGTTGCAATAGTATAAAATGCTTAAAGAGGAACTGATCAAGTCTACTTCATCTACACAATATACCACTACAACGTGACACATTATTTTAAGATGTTTACTATACTTTGAGCCCCATGAGTGTTTTCGTGTACACAGGGTTAAGATGATAATACTTTGAACGAAATAATAGTTGAACAACTGTTACCCAGTGCACTGGTTAGAAAAATATCTTATTTCATGTTTAAGTGCACACGTCAGTGGACCAGGATAGAAACCCTCCGCGACTGGGGTTTAGATTTTGGTTTTTAAAAGAGTAAACCAACCTGAAGGGACAAATATAATTTTTTTAAATGTCTTTGTCTTTGTTAGGTTTTACTAAGTTATACTATTTAGTTTTAGGCGTTAACATTTTTATAGACGTTTTTTTCATCATTTTTTTGTTGTTGTTTTATTGTTTAGTAGGCTATTGTTTACACTTGGTAGCTTGTTATAAACTAATTAAATAAATAACGTGTGAAACAATTAACGTCAACTTCATCAACGTTTTCTTCTGTCATAGATTATCTTCTACCATTGGACTGTTAAAATTAAAATGTGGACATTTAATAGTTAACATTAAGATGTAGCCATTGGAATTAGTCATTTAGTTGTTAATATTAGGATGCATACATCTATTATTGACATTCGACTGTTAAAATCAAGATGTTTGCATTCAATAGGCAATATTTAAAAATTGATATTAAATTGTTAACATTAAAATCAGTGTTTCTTCCAGACTTTTTTCTCCGGGGGGGGGGGGGGGGGGGGGGAGGGCACTCGAAATTTTCGGGAGGGGGGGGCGGTAGACTTTCTTCGGGGGGGGGGGGGGCGGACACTGTTAAAAGTATATATTTTCTATATAAATTATATAAATTTCATTTCGTTTGAAGGGGGGGGGGGGAGCAGTAGAATTTTTTTCGGGGAGGGGGGGGGGGCAAGTCCCCCCCCCCCTCCCCGCCGAAAAGATGCCTGGTAGAAACTCTGATTAAAATAATGACATTAAATTGTTACAAATAAGATGTTGGCATTTTATTGTTAACATAAAAAATTCGCTATTGAATTGTTAACATTCAAATATTCACATTAAATTGTTAACATTAAGATGTTGGCATTTAATTATTAACGTAAAGAATTCGCTACTGAATTGTTAACATTCAAATATGTTAACATTGAAATGTTAACATTAAAATGTCGACATCGATTGTTAACATTTGCTCAGCACACCTTTTCATCACCCCCCCACTGATGTCCCCAGTCCAGCGCGGTGCTGTCCAAGCTGTGTGTTTACCTGGCCACCTGCCCCCTGTGCTGCGACTGTTGGTCCGGCACCAAGGACAAGGCCCCGCCCCAGCGGCTCCACATACAGCACACGTGCATGGAGCAGAACCACGGGAGACTAGACTCGACTAGCAGCAACACGGACAGTGTCAAAAGTTACAGGTCAGTGTCCAGGGGGTCAAGGTCAGGGTACAAGACTAGAGGTCAGTGTCAAAAGTTACAGGTCAGTGTTCAAGGGTCAAGGTTAGGGTAAAGGCTAGAGGTTGGTGTCAAAAGTTACAGGTCAGTGTCCAAGGGGTCAAGGTCAGGGTACAAAGCTAGAGGTCAGTGTCAAAAGTTACAGGTCAGTGTCCAAGGTTCAAGGTTAGGATACAAGGCTAGAGGTCAGTGTCAAAAGTTACAGGTCAGTGTCCAGGGGTCAAGGTCAGTGTCAGGGGATACAGATCGGGGTCAAATGTTGCAGGTCGGTGTGCAAGGGTGAAGGTTAGGGTCAAGGGATACAGATCGGGGTCAAATGTTGCAGGTCGGCGTGAAAGCGGAAAGGTCAATGACCAAATTTAGAGGTCAGTGTTAAAGGTTAGAGGTCAGAGTCAAATGGATGCAGGTCTTAATGCTTTAGTTCAGTGTCAAATGTTAGAGGTCAGTGTTAAAAGTTATAGGTCAGTGTCAGAGGCTACAATTCAGTGTTCAAGGTTAGTGGTCAGTGCCGAGAAATGCAGGTCAGTGTCAGAGGTTGTAGGTCAGTTACAAAGGTTATAGGTCAGTGTCGAAGTTTACATGTTAGTTTCACACCTTACAGGTTAGTGTGAGGTTAAAGATTAGTGTCAAATGGCCTCCAACATTTGACACTGATCTTTAACCTCACACTAACCTGTAAGGTATGGAGGCCAAGAGGTCAGGAAAACTAATCCGCCTCTGCACACACACACACACAAACACAAACACACACACGCACACACATACATGCACACACACACGCGCGCGCACACACGCACACACACGCACGCACACACATGCACACACACGTGCACACACGCACACACAAATACACACATATCTCCCTGATCACGTGACCCTCACTGTTTTCCTCCACTCTACTGCCCCAGAGAACGGATGGACTCCGAGAACTCCAGGACGGACTCCGTGTCGTCATCAAGCGGGATAAGCCTGGAGAGCAAGCGCCACGTCACCCCCATCATAGACATGAAGCCCATCGAGTTCTGGACGGCCAACAAGTAAGTCACACTCAGTGGTCGAGTTGAGAATCTTGTTTTATATTTTCTGGGGTTTACATTTTCTGGGGTTTACATTTTCTGGGGTTAACATTTTCAGGCTTTATATTTTCTGGGGTTTACATTTTCTGGGGTTTACATTTTCTGGGGTTTACATTCTCAGGGTTTACATTTTCAAGGTATACATTTTCAGAGGTTATATTTTTGGGGTTTACATTTTCAGGGTTTACATTTTCAGAGATTTACATTATTAGAGGTTTACATTTTCAGAGGTATACTTGATTTACACTTCATAAAAAATGATACACCAACCCGAAAGGATGCCGGTGGGTGAGGGTGGGGGGGTGCTACACCAGTCCTAAGGGTCATCACTCAACGATAAGGCCTACTTATTAATATGTAAGGCGCCACACATGCCTAATATGAAGTGGCATCACTGAATGCGTTAACTCCACATAACGAAATATGAGTTTAAAAGTATTAAACCAACGTTTTACGCTAGTAGCAGATGTTTTAGGTATTCACCAAACCGTGACAAGCTTTTACTTTTAATATTATGAAGATGATACAGTAACAAAATTATATTTTACTTTGAAAATAGAAAAAAAATGAATAAATTCACTATCGTGTAGCTTTGAGTGTAGCATTGAACTTGTAGATCTAGTTCAAGATACGACTAATGATACAAAGATTCGAGCAATGTATTACTGTAGCACTTTGTGTGGAGGCGTGAGTTATCGACCCTCAAAAAACTTCTCAAAATGCGAGAAACCTAATTTCCGATACAGTTCTACACCTAGTCTAGTTTTAAGAAACTCGGTTAATTTTTTTGTGTTGATCGTTTTTAAAACTAGCTGTAATACAATCGTTTCACGTAGGAGGCGTTGCAAACTGGAATCTGATGTTTACAAATTATTATTTTTTAAATTTAAAAATCAGTAGAAACAATTTCATACAAAGTGTATATTAACAACAAATCGAAATAGAAAATTTTAAGCGAGATAAACCGAGACTTATATAATGAACGTAAAAAAATGTACCCGCTTACATCAAAGGTTAAATTATAACGAAAGTCAGAATGTAGTCACATAACGTGTAACTTATCTGAAAGTTCAGCACTCGAATTTATCGTCAGCTGTGCCCTCGTCTTGAAAGGTTCATTTCCGGCAGAAGTCATGACGTCTGCTGCTGACGTCGTTTGATTCCACAGAGAGGCCCGTGCTTACCTTGACCTCACAAATTGAACTCTGACCTTTGTGATCTAAAACAAACTCCGCCCCAAGAGTGTCCAACCACGCCCCAAAATGTAATACGTACACCCGTGTCTTTATAATTAGCATCTGAATTTTACGATTTACACCCCCACCCAGTGTTTCTTCCGGGCACCCCCCCCCCCCACTAGAAAGTCTACCGCCCCCCAAACGAAATGGAAATTTTAGTCCGCCCCCTCCCCCCGGAAATTTCAAATGCCCCCCCCCCCCCCCCCCTGGAGAAAAATATCTGGAAGAAACACTGCCTCCACTCAGAACATCCAGCCTTACTCCTAGACAGAACATTTTTTTAAAAATAAATATTTGTGACTAACCTATAGGATTGACTTCTCCCTATATAGGAGTGTCAAGACAGAATGAAATGTTGTGTAGCTCATTATATTAATGTGTATCTGACCTGTGTGATTGTCTCCACCCCCCACCCCTATAGAGAAAGTTTCCAGCCCCACTCGGGTAAAGATGTTATATTTGTACCTGACCAAATTGTAACTCACCCCCCCCCCCCCCAAGAGAAAGTGTCCATCCCCACTCAAACAAAAATTTATATATGTAACTGACCTGCTGCAACTTACCTCACCCCCCACAGGGAGAGTGTCCAGTCCCACTCAAACAAGGATTTTTACATTTGTACCTCACCTACTGTGATTTACCCCCCCCCCCCCCCCCCCCAGAGAAAGTGTCCAGCCCCGCTCAGAAAAAAAAAATATATTTGTACCTGTACTACTGTGATTTACCCCCATCACAACAGGGAGAGTGTCCAGCCCCACTCAAACAAAGATGTTATATTTGTACCTGACCTATTGTAACTTACTCCCACCCCCCCACCCCACAGGGAGAGTGTCCAGCCCCACTCAAACAGACATTTTATATTAATACCTGACCTATTGTAACTTACCCCCCCCCCCCTCCCCACAGGGAGAGTGTCCAGCCCCACTCAAACAGACATTTTATATTAATACCTGACCTATTGTAACTTACTCCCACCCCCCCCCCCCCACCCCACAGGGAGAGTGTCCAGCCCCACTCAAACAGACATTTTATATTAATACCTGACCTATTGTAACTTACCCCCCCCCCACCCTACCCACACAGGGAGAGTGTCCAGCCCCACTCAAACAGACATTTTATATTAATACCTGACCTATTGTAACTTACCCCCCCCCCCCACCCTACCCACACAGGGAGAGTGTCCAGCCCCGCTCCCGACGCCGCCACCCCAGCGAGAGCGAGATCAGCGTGGACAACTTCCAGCGAGAGCTGTACGAGGTGGACACGGAGGAGGAACCGTGTCTGACGGACGAGGAGAAGCTGGCCCAGTTCCAGCTGGGGCAGCTTCACTTTGGCCTCAAGTACGACGTCTCGTCCAAGGTAGGAACTCCGGGGGTCAGTCTAGGGCTACCTGCTGGGGTGGTCACTTTATTTGGGAGGTCAGTCTAGGGCTAACTGCTGGGGTGGTCACTTTATTTGGGGGGTCAGTCTACGGCTACCTGCTGGGGTGGTCACTTTATTTGGGGGTCAGTCTAGGGCTACCTGCTGGGGTGGTCACTTTATTTGGGGGGGGGTCAGTCTAGGGCTACCTGCTGTGGTGGTTACTTTATTTGGGGGGGGGGTCAGTCTACGGCTACCTGCTGTGGTGGCTACTTTATTGGGGGGTCAGTCTACGGCTACCTGCTGTGGTGGTCACTTTATTGGGGGGTCAGTCTACGGCTACCTGCTGTGGTGGTCACTTTATTTGGGGGGTCAGTCTAGGGCTATCTGCTGTGGTGGTTACTTTATTTGGGGGGTCAGTCTACGGCTACCTGCTGGGGTGGTCACTTTATTTGGGGGTCAGTCTAGGGCTACCTGCTGGGGTGGTCACTTTATTTGGGGGGGTCAGTCTAGGGCTACCTGCTGTGGTGGTTACTTTATTTGGGGGGGGGGGGGGTCAGTCTACGGCTACCTGCTGTGGTGGCTACTTTATTGGGGGGTCAGTCTACGGCTACCTGCTGTGGTGGTCACTTTATTGGGGGGTCAGTCTACGGCTACCTGCTGTGGTGGTCACTTTATTGGGGGTCAGTCTACGGCTACCTGCTGTGGTGGTCACTTTATTGGGGGTCAGTCTAGGGCTATCTGCTGTGGTGGTTACTTTATTTGGGGGGTCAGTCCATGGCTACCTGCAATGCTGGTCACTTCATGTGGTCAGTCTAAGGCTACCAACTGTGGTGGTCACTTTATTGGTGGTCAGTCTAAGGCTACCTGCTGGGGTGGTCACTCTCTGGGGCTACCTACAATGATGGTCACTTCATTTGGTGGTCAGTCTAGAGCTACCTGATATGGCTGATACGTTTTCTGGGAGTATCAGTAATATTGGTCAGTCTATATTTCGGTCCAGTCTCCGGATATTTATCAAGGGTAGTTAGTCTATTCAATTCTATTAATCTCTGGAAATCATTCTGATAATTCGTCTATCTGGGGTCACTTTATCAGGTCATGTTTCTCTCATAATCAGTCTTTTATAGACAGTCCTCTTTTGCAACCAGCATGGGGTATTCAGATCTAGCGTTTATTATCTTGAAGCTCACCCTGACAAATTTCCTATCTTTTCCATTCATCAACCCCCAAATCCTCAACCTTACATAGGATATACACAAGTCTCAATCTCGCAGGTTCTCGTGGTGAAGATGATCGAAGCCCGAGACTTACCCCCACCCTACTGTCTCGACGAGACCAAACAAGACATGGCCCACTCCAACCCCTACTGCAAAGTCTCACTTCTGCCAGACCAAAAGGCTTCCCAGCAGACGACAGTCCAGCGTAAGACACAGGAACCCGTCTGGAACGAATATTTCAGCTTCGATATCGAGTACCTGGAGGCTCAGGAGCGAACGCTGGAGATTCTTCTCAAGGACTTTGATAAGTTCTCCCGGCATAGACTCATCGGGAAAGTCTTGTTGCCGCTCAGCACAGTCAACCTGGTCAAGGGGGGTCATATGTGGAAACCTTTGTCACCCGGTAATAAGGTAAGCTGTTTTATGTTTCTTGGTTGGGGGGGGGGGGGCATATGTGGATACCTTTGTCACCCGGTAATAAGGTAAGCTGTTTTATGTTTCTTGGTTGGGGGGGGGGGGCATATGTGGAAACCTTTGTCACCCGGTAATAAGGTAAGCTGTTTTATGTTTCTTGGTTGGGGGGGGGGGGGCATATGTGGAAACCTTTGTCACCCGGTAATAAGGTAAGCTGTTTTATGTGTCTTGGTTAAGGGGGGGGGGTCATATGTGGAAACATTTGTCACCTGGTAATAAGGTAAGCAGTTTTATGTATCTGGTAGTGTGTCATTCAATGTCTACAGTACCTACTTATTTCGTATCACACATTACCTGGTCATGTGATGATTTAGTGTCATATATATATATATATATATATATATATATATATATATATATATATATATATATATATATATATATAGAGAGAGAGAGAGAGAGAGAGAGAGAGAGAGAGAGAGAGAGAGAGAGAGGGAGAGAGAGATAAATAAAAGTAAAGCTTTCAGTGTATTACCATACACTCAAGGTTTTCATACAGCACGCCCTAGGGCGTCCAGGCAGTAGTGTGGTCAAACCAACAATTATGATTCAAGAAATATAGCGCTTGCTTTGTTTATATTTTAATGGCTCACTTTTAGAAAACAAGGTCTCGCGTCTAAAAATACAATATTGGCAACGCATTGATGAAATCCTCTTAAAATATTGCTACAGCCTTTCTTCTGACCGCAGCAACGCGCGGGACGGGTACGCTAGTGTCATATATTAACTGGTGATATGATGCTTTAGTGTCGTAATATCTGAGGAAATCGTGATTTAGTTTTATTTTGCCTGGTGATAGTGTGGGCGAAAGATCATTGACCGACCTAGTAACAACGTAGGAACAAACGTGTTAAAAGCGTTTGCGGGCGAGTTGTATTCACATGGGGAAGGTATTCCACGTCAAAATTTATGTAAAGCGATTGATATGCTCGTATAAATAAATCAAGCAACTACTGCCTATAAATTATCTACCTAGATACAGGTATACAGTGGGGCGACGTGGCCAAGTAGTAGAGAGCTAGACTGCTAACCGGAAAGTCTCAAGTTCGAACCCGGGTTTAAGTCAGTCAAACGTGATCGGAGTCCACTCAGCTCAAATGGGTACCTAAATAACGTTAAGGAAAGCAAAGGCGGCTCGGCATAGTGCTGACCACACTTTCCCTTCATATGCCGAGGTCTCTGAAAAGATTAACTGTACTTCATCTGCCCCATGTGTCTTGTGCACGAACGGGAAAAGATGATGATAAATCTATACACCAACAATTATTCTCATATCTCCCCTGCCACGGTATCTTAGTGCAACGCCCTATGGCTCAGCAGACAGGTAAGTGCGATTCCCTCCAGGAAGAAAGAAAACATTTCACAATCAATATCTCAGCCCACAAAGTGGTTTCCTGTTTACTTTTGCGCCACTCGTCACGTGACCAGGCAGCAACACATGACGAATTGTTTATGTTCGCATTTCGCAATATTCAAATATTTTTCTTCGGCGTGCTCAGATCACATGACAATATTTTCTTTGCACTCGCGGAGGGAGTCGATTTTAAAAAAAATTGAAATGGCTACGGTCAAATTTAAAACCAATGTATCAAAATGTTGGATTAGATTAATTAAACATCTATTTATGTATTATTGATTCTGTATTTAACTTCGACGAAAGTGACTTTTAATTATTCAGAAATTAAATAAATAATGGTGTAATAAAAAAAATATATTTTTGGTCAAATAATTCAACTACCGTTTTAAAAATGTGGGCGTAGCGAGTGATTGGGGTGGATTACCCCCTCGCACCCCCAAGCTACGCCTTTTTATTTTAAAAACTAAAACTAAATAAAGAACTGACTTGCACTATTCTGCTTACTAGGAAAAACACGATGTACTTTTGTCTACCAGATAAGTAAACTATATGTGCGCCAAATTGTTTTATGGTGGCCAGATTTCTTCCAATGTTGTTACTAACGTTAGCTTAAATATCCTTGATAGCTTTTTTTCCAATTGGTATACGTCTAAGCTGAAAGATAAAAGTGCGTAAAACGTTTTTTATTTAATTCAATTTTCACCCTTATAAATAACTTCATTTCATATGGCATGATAATAAAATTATTGTCAAATTAACTTTAAAGTTTAAATTTATAACTTTTTAGTTTTGGCTAAAAAATTATTCTGGGGGTTTAAGGCAGAGAAGGGGGGCGGGGGAGGGTGTAATGATTAATTTTACCTTTATATCAGAGCCCATCAATTTTGGTTGAGGTGAAGGAATATACCACTGTAATGAATAGGCAAGAATATAACATCTAACTGACTAGGTAAGAATATATAATATTTGAGCTGAATATGAAAGAAAATAACATTTTGCAGACTAGGCAAGAGTATAACATTTAACTGACTAGGCAAGAATATAACATTTAGCTGACTATGGAAGAAATAACATTTAGCTGAATAGGCAAAAATATAACATTTAGCTGACTAGGCAAGAGTATAACATTTAGCCTACAGGCAATAGTATAACATTTAGCTGATTAGGCAAGAACATAACATTTAGCTGACTAGGAAAGAGTATAACATTTAGCTGACTAGGAAATAGTATAACATTTAGCTGACTAGGCAAGAGTATAACATTTAGCTGACTAGGCAAGAGTATAACATTTAGATGACTAGGCAAGAGTATAACATTTAGCTGACTAGGCAAAAATATAACATTTAGCTGACTAGGCAAGAGTATAACATTTAGCTGACTAGGCAAGAGTATAACATTTAGATGACTAGGCAAGAGTATAACATTTAGCTGACTAGGCAAAAATATAACATTTAGCTGATTAGGCAAGAATATAACATTTAGCTGACTAGGCAAAAATATAACATTTAGCTGACTAGGCAAGAATATAAAATTTAGCTGACTAGGCAAGAATATAACATTTTTCTAACTAGGCAAGAACATAACATTAAACCGAGTAGCCAAGACCAAATACATGAGTTAAGCAGGTAAAAATATAACATTGAGTTAAGTGGAAAAGCAGACAAGAGTCGCTCCATATGATTCCCAGTAACCACGATTCAATCTATCAACTGTGACTTGACAGTGTGTCACTACCTTAGTACTAACACATGAACGTCAACAAATATTATTTACTAATACTTTCGCAACCCTACTGTTTATAAAAATCTGAGCTGATATTTTTTTTTCCGGAATTGATTTTTTCCCCCCACCCTCTAAAATCACAGAACTAGGTCAGGTTTTGTAAGTCGATACATTATCGATCCCCTTTCTTGTTTACCGCTGGTTTTCTGACTTATGAAACACAACACAGTGGTGGGGGCCTGTGACACACAAAGCTGGCGGTAATTACATCAACCACCTCTGCATATTGTCAAAAGGATGGAAAGACCGAACCTGCTCTGGCCTCGGGCGGATGAAGATGCCACTACAGTCGATTTGGAATTGCGCGTTCAGTGCTAGATCGAACTTCGCCAACGCGTCACCCCCGCGGGGGGGGGGGGGGAGGGGTACTTCGATGTTTTAAAAACAATCTCTGTTTTACCTTAACTCTGTTTGTAGGGATGAAATATGGCCGTGTTTTGAGTAGTCTAAGAAAAACAACAAATTATTAGCGGTGATGGATTGGCAAATTGAATTCCGAATCTATTCGAACAGTGAGGCTTTTCTAGGGATATTCACAGACACACATAGGAAGTTAGAAATCGTCTCTTTTACCCTTGGCCACATCTCTGGATTCTAGCCGACCTCCTACCCCATATTGCCTCTGAATGATTGCATACATCATGTTAATCGTAAAGTCTTCTTTAGATATTACAGTCTTCTTCCTCTTGTCGCTAACGTAATAAATTTCGTGTGCATAAAGCTCTTAAGTCTCTTACATAACAGTTTGGGATATTACAAAAACACGATGTTCCTAAGTCTCATTCATCTTCTTGTCTTTTAGTCCCTTAGAATATGTTTGAACACGGTCCTATATCACCTGAACACCGCCCTATATTAAACACCGCCCTTAAATCACCTAAACACCGCCCCACATTAGTTAAACACCGCCCTATTAACCTAACCACCGCCTTATTTACATAAATACGCCCCACATCATCTAAACACCGCCCCACATCATCTAAACACCGCCCCACATCATCTAAACACCACCCCACATTAGTTAAACACCGGCCTATTAACCTAAACACCGCCTTATTTACATAAATACCGCCCCACATCATCTAAACACCGCCCCACATCATCTAAACACCGCCCCACATCAACTAAATACCGCCCAATTAACCCGATCACCGCCCTATCACCTAAACACCGCCCTTAAATCAACTAAACACCGCCCTCTATCCCACCAAGGCTACCAACACACACAAACCTATTTCAGCTCAGTGTCCTTGAACACAATAAACACCTATGTATTTACGACTCGAAATTCCTCTCTGCCATTTTTTCTCCCTTCTTATCTACGACCTTTCATTAACCCCCTCACATCTCCTACCCCACAACGTCACCCCCCCCCTCCACCCCCACCCCCCGATCTCAGTTAATGCATTCTGCAACACAATGGGACACCATAGCCGGCCTACGTCATCACCGACACGGTGGGGTGTCCTCTGCGACTGGTCTGGCACTAGGGAAGGCGGCCATTGCGAACACTGCCTGCCATTGATTTTCTGTCCGAGGGACTCGCATTTCCAGAGATGGATGAAGATTGAGATGAGTACAATGGAGGGGTGGGGGGTGGAAGAAGGGTGGAGGGATCTACTGTAGGGAGCGAGGGAAATTTCATTCATGTCACGAAGTTATTTTTTTTAATTGTTTCGTGATTTTTTTTTTTTTACATTTTGTAAAAGGAAAAAATAAACAAACGTCATAGAATCCGAGTTTTGTAAATATTTCATAAAATCTGCTCGAGTCATGTGACGTGATGACGTATACAGGCTTTTATTTCACATTTCTTTTTTCCACTCACATTATCTCTCTCTCTCTCTCTCTCTCTCTCTCTCTCTCTCTCTTTAGAATTCAGCCTTCTTGTAACTGCAGATTTGAAACATAGTGTCTATGTGTGTATACACACTAGATTTTTCATTATTTTTTAAAAATGCTGGTAACTGTTTTGGGCTGATTCACATAAAGTGGACGCTTCGATTAAAGACTTTGATTACACATATGGGGTCATCCATAAATGACGTCAAGCTTTTTTTTTTCACGATTTTACCTCCCCCCCCCTCCGTCACACATAGTCACAAATAGCAAGCCCCCCCCCCCCCCTAAAATGACTTCACGCCTCAGCCTACTACCCTACTCAAAATTTCATTTGAATTTTTTTTTTTAAACATCGACACATTTCCAAAGTCTTGTCTGAACTCTGTCAACATAGAGTATTTTAATCACTTCCTATTACAATTCATTAAAACAGTTTTCTAAAACGCGAAATAACGTTAAAAATTCTTTTTCTATTATTGCTTTTTTATAATGCAATGTGTGACGCCACACCTTCTCAACCCACCCCCTCCCCCTCATCACACACCGTCACAAAATTACGGACCCCTCCTCCCCCTCGAGTATGACGTCATTTATGGACGACCCCTATCTTAAAACATAATTCTAAAAATAGTTTTAATTTGTTTTTGAAATTCTAGGCTATGTTTGTATTTAGAAATTATTTCTTTGAAGTATTTATAGCAAAATTAACTTGCTGTATTAGTTGCCCACTTGGTTGTCATAATTGATGTCTTAATTGATGTCTTAATTGATGTTTTATTTGATGTCTTAACTGATGTCCTATCCTATGTTTTATTCGATGTCATATTCGATGTCCTATCCTATGTCCTAATTGATGTCTTATTATTTTTCCTGTTCGATGTCCTATTCTGTCCTTTTCAATGTAATTTCGATGTCCTATTCTATGTCCTATTTTACGTCCTAATTGATGTCCTATTCTTTATCCTGTTCTATGTCCTAACTGATGTCCTACTTTTTATCTGGTTGGATGTCCTATTCTGCCCTTTTCAATGAAATTTCGATCTCCTATTCTATGTCCTAATTGATGTCCTATTCTTTATCCTGTTCGATGTCCTATTCGGTGTCCTATTCGATGTCCTAGTCTCTGTCCTAATGGATGTCTTATTTTTTTTCTCCTATTCGATGTGCTATTCTCTGTCCTAATGGATGTCCTATTCTATGTCCTACAGGAGTGCCAGGACCTGGGTGAGCTACTGCTGTCCATCAACTACCTCCCGTCTGCTGGTCGCTTGACCGTTGACATCATCAAGGCCAAGGGGTTGCTACAGACGGACATGGTTGGGGGGTCAGGTAAGCTGGGGTTATTTCTTAAGGGTCAGGTGAGCTGGGGGTATTTCTTGGGGGTCAGGTAAGCTGGGGGTATTTCTTGGGGGTCAGGTGGGGTTATTTCTTGGGGGTCAGGTAAGCTGGGGGTATTTCTTGGGGGTCAGGTAAGCTGGGGGTATTTCTTGGGGGTCAGGTGGGGTTATTTCTTGGGGGTCAGGTAAGCTGGGGGTATTTCTTGGGGGTCAGGTAAGCTGGGGGTATTTCTTGGGGGTCAGGTAAGCTGGGGGTATTTCTTGGGGGTCAGGTAACACGGGTTGTTTCTTAGGGGTCATGTGAGGTTATTTTTGGGGTCATGTGAGGTTATTTTTGGGGTCAGGAAAGCATGGATTATTTCTTGGGGGTCAGTAGTTGTTATTTCTTGGGGGTCAGGAGGGGTTTATTTTTGGGGTCAGGAAAGCAGGTTTTTTTTTTCTTGGAGGTCAGGTAAAGAGGGGTTGTTAACTAGGCCAGGCAACGAAGGGTTAGGTTCAGGAGGTGAGTTAAGGAGGGGTTAGATTGGGGTTCCGTATGAAGGGGTTATTTGTGATTTTGTATGCACATTTACATCTCACTGCTCTATCTTATTACTTCAAAATTATACGGGCTTTTTTCTTCTTAATCCGGCATATATCATAATCTGATTTGTATATATGGGCAAATGTTTATTCGGGCATTTGTCCCATTTGGGCATTTGTCCCATTTAGGTATTTGTCCCATTATGGCATTTGTCCCATTAGGGCATTCGTCCCATTTGGGAAAACGTCCCATTCGGGCATTTGTCCCATTCCGGAATTACTCCCATTTGGGCATTTGTCCCATTCAGGAATTAGTCCCATTTAGGAATTTGTCCCATACGGGCAAACGTGCCCGTGTAGTAAAATCATGACCTTTGATCTTATAAAACTCTTTCCACCCTTTCTTTTGTACCTCTCTAATTAAATCAAAACCTTAAAATAAAACCTTCTGTCCTACTCGAAAAATATATCTCCAAAACATTTCTCCATTGCAGACCCCTTTGTTCGAGTGACGTTGGTTCAGCTGGAGAAACCGGTGAAGACACGAAAAACAACCTGCAAGAAAAATACCATCGACCCAGTGTTTAATGAGTCGGTCAGCTTCAACCTCACACAACAGCAGGTAACCTTAACCTTAGCCCTGACACGTTAGGTGTAATTAACATTAACCATTACACATAAAGCAGGTAACCTTAAGCTTAGCCCTGACACGTTCGGTGTAACTAACATTAAGTTTAACTAACATTAACCATTACACAACAGCAGGTAAATTAAGCTTAGCCCTGACACGTTAGGTGTAATTAACATTAACCATTACACAACAGCAGGGGTAACCTTAAGATTTGTGCTAACACATTAGGTGTAACTAACATTAAGTTTAACTAACATTAACCATTACACATAAAGCAGGCAACACCAACCTTAACCCCAATAGATAAGATACACCTAACCTTAACTCTAACACAACAATAACCATCAACTTCACAATATCAAGTAAAACTAACTTTAACCCTAACTCACTAGATACACATAAACCACACTCAACCACAGGTAATCTCAACTTTCACAAAATATCAGATAAACCTATCCTTAACCCTACCAGTGTGATGAATATATCTTTAAAGTAAAGTAGGAAATATGCTGTGAAGAGTACGGACTCAAGTCCGTGTAATCCAATAAGATAAGTTAACAGATGAATAGTATAATAAAAACATGTTTAATTGTTATACAGATAATTAATTCAATAGCAAGTGCTCTGATACAGTAGCAAATACCTATTATAAGTAGTTTGGCAAGGATCAATAAATGATTACACTGTCAAACCCTAACCTTCATCTGGTAAACAACTATATTGTCAAATGGTACTTTAAAGTCTTCAGTAAACTTTTCAATGAAATACCCAACCCGTAATATTCTGGTACTTTGCAGTTATACATTTTTATTTTCTCTCAAAAAAAATACGTGCATTAATTACAATAAATTGCCTAAGTAACAGACAGAAAAACACAGGCGTATAAAATCGAGAGCGGCTAGTCCAGCCTGGGCAGAGCCTTGCCGAAACCCGAGAATCTGATCTGTAATATTGATCCTGTATGTGGGAGAGGTCCCAGCCTGCGCAGTAACAGCAGACCGAGGCTGCAATCGTAGCGGAAATGGCCTGATTTCTCATCCCTTTTTGGTGGATCCCGACGCTTTTATTTCGATTACAGCTAGAGCTATTTTAGTACCTGACGTCATTAAAATAATATCCAGCTATATCTGAATGGGTTTTAATTAAAATTAAAATGGCGTCTGCGCATGCGTAGAGAAGAACTACAATTGTGAAGTAGATGTGGAGGTTATGTCGGGGTTTTTTTCTCAGCCATTAGGGCCTTTGATTAAATTGAATGATTTATTGAACATCGATTGCGCAAGGGATTATTTAGATATCGAACAGTAATGGGCGGAAAGGTTTTAATATTAGGTTTGATTAATTCACGTTTTCAACTGTCGCAATCGGTTAGTTTGCTCTACTGTCATCTGGAGTTAGAGAATAAAAGTATAGGTAATTTGATTTAAAACTGTGCTCAGAATAAAAAAAAATGGTTTAAGGAATATTATTTTCATGGAATTCGGATTGACGATGTTAAAATATTTCAGAGACATAGAGTTAGTGCGAAAAACAGATACCAAAGACTTTTAAAATTCAGTAGAATGTAGGGGCCTACGTTTATTTTTTTAAATAACATCGCATTTTAATGTGGATAAAGCTCATTTAACCATGAAAATAAACAAACACCCCACATTAACATTGTACGTGTATTCTCTTTGACTAAACGAACCATTAAACTACCCAAAGAAACACACATTTTACACTTCCGCTTTCTGATAGGGTTATACGGGGAACCTAACCACCACAAAAACCCACAGTAAAGAAAATTTACACTGTTTTGCTAAATCAAACCCCACACAGAAGAAAATTTAACGCCTGCACTTTTTGAAGAACCCAACCACCAACATATCCCACAGAGAAAGGCATTTAGCAGCTGCACTTTTTGGTAGCCTGAGTTGGCGAACCGAATCATCATGTGGCGAACCGAATTTGACTAGCCCAACATTCCCACCCCCCCCCCACGAAACTAAATTAACCCCTTCATGTTTTGACTAACCCAACACCCCCAACCTCATCCCCCATGAAACACAATTAACCCCTCCACTTATTGACTCGACCAACGCCCCCCCCCCCCCCACACACACACTAAACAAAACTTAACCCCTTCATGACTTGACAAGCACCCCCCCCCGAAACAAAACTTAACCCCTAACTTAACCCCTCCACTATTTGACTCGACCAACACCCCCCTCCCCCCACGAAACAAAATTTAACCCCTCCACTTATTGACTCGACCAACACACACCTCCCCCCTCCCCCCACGAAACAAAATTTAACCCCTCCACTATTTTCCCCCACAGCTTGTCGGAGCCAGCATCGTGGTCACCGTGTGGGACCACAACTCCAAGTCCAAGGACGACTTCGTGGGCCGTGTGGTCATCGGGCACCACGGCACCGGCCCGCAGGAAACGCAGCACTGGGAGAGGATGCTCCAGTCCCAGAGGTCCCCCGTGGCCCAGTGGCACTCTTTGAAGTCTCGCGTGGACTGCGACCAAGTCTCGGTCGCGTCCATTGCGGTCCCGTAAAATCAGTAAAAACATAAACGTTTCTGTTTATTTATTTTTTTTATGACCGAGGATCGCTGGCGTAAAACAAGTGGCGAAATAATCGAGTTCACTCGGATTCGATATGTAATGTAGATGTTAGTTGTGCCCCATGATGACGGGGTGTAGTTTTCTAACGCGTCATTGATATGTCATTTGTAAAGGGAAGCAACAGCTGTGTAAAGGGAAGCAACAAGAGCTAAAAATTATTATATCACCTAACATATCAGTTCTGTCAGGCCACAGATCATGTAGCAACTGGTTAAATAGCTCAACATATTTAAAATAAAATGTTAGGCCTTTTATTAATTTAGTGATGTTTATAGTATTATAACTAAATATTGTAGAAGGAGCCATTTAAAAAAATAAGCATACTTATAATAAAAAAAATAAAAGGCAACTCTTTTCTATCATATTTTTTAAATATTAAGAGCTTCCAACTTATGGTAAGAAATTTAAAGCTGCATCGTTTGTCTTCTTAATTGGTCCATGAAAATACCTCTTGGTTATAGTGCAATTAGTTACGATACAATCCTCTTAAAACTGTGTTGTTTTTTTTTTAAACTTTATTTTCTATTAAAAATGGGATTAAAATAATTTGAAGCAATATCAGATATCAAAAGATTTTCTATTTATATACCTTGTACATTTTAAAAGTGAAATATATTAAAATTGTTTTTCATAACATGTGAACAATATTTTTTTGATTACATTTTCTTTTCAAAAGAATTACTCGTAAAACGTATGCTGTTCTTTTAAAATGTAAAGTAAAATTTTGAATCCGGAATATTTTTTACTTTCGTATTTTGCTGCAAGCGTAACATGTAAAGCGGTTAATGAAGGAATATATATGCTTGGAAATGTAAAGCAATTTGAGTAGATTTTGAACATATTTACAACATGTAAATAGTTCAGAGACTTGTCTTTCATATAGATCATCTGTTCGTGCGTATATTTATCCGTTTGTGAATTGGAAATATAGTATTAGATCAAAGAGTTATAAACATTACGTTATATATATATATATATATATATATATATATATATATATATATATATAATATTGTGAAAATTGAATGTCATTTTTGCCAACATTTTAACGTATAGTTTTAAAAAACTTTAAAACAATCCATATTTTTAACTGACCAACATATTAGCTATCTCTGTGAGTTAGGCAAGAAGCTTGAAAAATAATTTCTTGAAATTTTTTTTTTTGCAGCAATTGTTTTCCTGTACCTTTCTACTGGTTTAATACAAAATCGTCCAGCCCCCACCACCCGCATTCCACCCCCCACCGCCTAAAAATAACTCCAACCAATGACGTGGGTTTCTTACAGATGAAATTAAATTCTACATAGTTACATAGAACACGTGAATTTTAAAAGTAGTCTATTTAATTACACTTTCCGCCTCTGATAAGAAACAATTATTCCATTTGATTTGAGGCTGATTTTAATTGAGTTTTAAAGTTTAAAATAAACGTGTTTCATAT